CACAGTACTTATTACGTCGTCATTCCATAGGTCATCGATGATCGGCGCAGTAAGGTTGATTTCAGACGTTGACAACATAAACAATCTACTAATAAATGAAATTAAAGTCCCACCCAGTTTGATAAATGTAATAATAAGGAGACATATTAATGATGCTTCTTTTTTGAGTTTTTGTTTTTCTTTTTTTTCTTTTTGGAGTGAGATGGGGAACATCATCGAGATTGCGTTATTTGAAAAGAAAATGGTTATAATTTAAAAAGATCATACATTTTTCAAGCTCGAATGCAGTTCCATCATCCAATACGTCCCATGGAACCAAGTCTTAAACTCCTTTGAAACTATTTCGGAATATTCTCCAATAAACGACTAAGAGAATCCCAAATAAACACACGACTGTAGCAGTTCATAAAAAGCATTGCGTAATAAAGTTCTCTAATGATAATAATATGGTTGAAGCTAAAATTTTTAATATTCATTATATAAAAGATAAACTCTAAACTCATTGTTTTTTTGAGGTTCACTTTGGAGTTCAAAACCAAGAGAAGTAGCAACACGAGAACAATCAGAGTCACTCATGATCTTGTCAACTACAATAAGAGGATCGTTGCATGATGATTCATTGACTCCTTTACCAGTTGACAATTGATACAGGGAGGAATCAGAGCCATGATTAGTTCCATTGTCTGGATCAGCAACATCTTGATTCAGAGAATACATAATTACACAGCGTCTTCAAGGTGCCCTCTGTCTATGTAGAATCCTCTAGGATACTGATTCAGAACACTTTCCCCAAGCTTGGTCAAAATTCTTGAACTCTTTCTCAATTGGAACATTTAAAAACATTGTTAGCATTGTCTCCACTCTCCTTCTCATTGCCGCCTGTTTGTTGATTTTGTACATCTCCGCTCTCTCATTTTTCATTTTTCCTATTACAATTTTCTAGGGATGTTAAGCAGTCCTAAAATCCCAATAAATTTGCCAGTTCTCAGAATCTTAATTTTTGAAACTTAGAACCCAGTCCTAAGGACTCATGAAAATTGTCGATTTCAAAAGTTCATATTTTTTTTAAAGTTATTCATAAAATTTATTATTACAATTTTTTATCAAGAATTACTTATAATAGATAAATGATTAGACTTTTTTATAACACGTAAGTTCTATATTTGTTTACAATCATTTGGGACCGTATAACATCCCTACAATTTTCCCTTTCCGAGCTGAAAATGTGAGATTCATTGTGAAAGGGACAGACAACACATTCTTCTCCACCTCTAAAATCTTTCCGATATGGAGTCCCAATATTTTCGTCAAATAATCTGCCTAATATTTAGGATCTGTTCTCGGAAGCCAACTTATATGATATGTCTACAGTAAGGTTATGACATCCCAATATTGTTACGGTCGATATCCATGGAAACTTAATATTTTGTCCTTCACGTCATAAAGGGTTACTATTCTTTGGTATCTATGTTTTATTAAATAAAAATCAATTCTTACATTAAATAATAAGTTTTCTATGCAAAATAATAATAATAATAATAATATAAATATAAATACTTGTAAGGATATATGAAGTCTGTATTTAGGCTTTTCTGCTATAGTTCGTTTAATTTTCTAACCACTGATAATACTTTTTTCTGGATTTTTGAGTTCTTGTATTTACATATACAAACTTAAAGGCGTACTTTCGAATTTAATATATAGTGAACTAAAGATCTCATAGTCACCTTTCTTATCTACGCTGTAGTTTACTCGTGTTAATATTGCATAAACCGAAAATAAAAAATCATTCCGAAAAATCTTTCGACATACTCATATTTCGAGTCGAATGTTTCATTCGTCTTTTGCTATTGCTTATTTAATTGCAACGCACTCGCATTAAGCCTATGACCACCTGATGCAAACGTATCTTTTGTAATTTCTGTTATGCAAATAAGCTCCTCAAGGGTCTTGATTGCATAATCTACACGCCTTGCAATTTCTTCGCCTATAACCTCAAGCTGGAGTTCATTTTTCAGTTATTCTCTTGATAATGCATATAGACGAAAGTAATATTGCTTTAATATATATGAACGCAAAGCCTCGTTAGCCAGACCTATTGCATTTAAGCTAAACTATGTAGTATTGGAGTATCAGAAGTATTCATCATTATTATTGATTTTTTTCCATTTCTATAATAATAAGCAGTTCAGGTTCTCAAAACGAAACATATAACTGATTCTCATGACTTACATGATATGAATGGCGGGATCTTTTTATATCTTAATAACTTTCTCATAGGCTAAAGAGTTTATACGACCTTAACATTTTTTTTCTATTGAAGTCTGTAAGTATTCCGTTTTATCTTTTTTAACTTCTTTCGCTAATGAGATCCTAAATTTCTGGAATCAAAGCCCTTTTCTTCAAATATGTAAGAAGGCGGGTCCTGAATACATTTCTTGCAAATGTAGAACCATAACTGAAAGCAAGAATACCTTGATGAATAATTTTTTGTCTGTAATTTTCGTCTTTAATATTCTTTCGCCAGCAATTCTTTCACTGCAGTAATTTAGTAAGAATTGATAAAACGCTTCGGTAAAAAAAATATCATTGCGAATAATATCTTACGTTGCACTGCTCGACAAGAATTTTTCCGCACATTTTTACAATTTTACAGGTGATTGATTGAATTCTTCTAAATTTTACATGACCAGTTTGCTTAGTCAAATACCTATCCATCTTATTGCTTTATAGGTTGATAGTTAAAGATAAATAAATTTAACACATATTCATTCTACCTTTAGCTATGGAACGAAACTTACTAATCGATTTTAATCTTAGTGCTACAGATAAAGAATACAAACTTTTAGAGGTTTTAGAATTATGAATATTGGATAGAAGATGGGCTTTTGGAAAACCCCGGCCGAAAGGCACTTTGCATGTTGGAGAATCTGAGACTTATGATGGGTTCCCTGTGATGAATTTGAGACAATGAATGATTATTGGAACATCCATATGACGGATGGGAAAAAAACTATGGAACGAACTTGGATGGCTCGTCATCATTATTTGACGTATTCCTGAAAGAATATAATGCACTTATGCATATTAATAATAGTATTTATATATTAGGGTTCAGAATCAAAAGTTAGAAAATCTCCAAAGTCGAAAGTTGATTGTAATAACAATTTGACGACTTTAAATTGATTTAAAGCTTTAAACAATTGAAGAAGTCGAAACACTGGTAAAAATTAATTCGTTTTATTATTAGAATTAACATGAAAAAGTTGATAAAGGATTCAATTTTGTGTATCGAATCCTTAAGTGAAGCTAAATTTATCTTGCTATACTAAAAAAAATTTGAAAAAATTAATACTTTTGCCGATTTTTGATCGTTTTTTATCAAAAATTGATTTTTGATTTTTGAAAAGATTCAAAGGCTTAAAAAATAAAATAATTTAATATAATTCATGTTTCTTTACCGAGAATATTTTATATTTTTTTTATCTTTAATAGAATTAACTCCTTTTTTATACTTAAAGAAATCCATGTAGGAATGTCTTAAATTTCATATTGTAATATTAAAATAGATAAAACCTATTTCTAATCTATAACCGCATTATTACACGCAAGTAATGCTAACTCATCAATTGGTATAATTAACATTTCATGAAACTTCTGGACCCGAGTTTGTCAGGTATCACTTTGTCTTTCTTGTGTTATCATTTTCCTCTCTTTTTCACTTTCTGACGAGTAAATCATTATTACTTTGTTGCAAGAGTAACATTTGTGATGTTTATAAGAACGACTTGAAATGCCGTTTAAAATATCTTCTTGAAATGTAAAGTATAAAAAAAAATTGCAATTTTAAAGCTTTTTTTTTTTATTGTTTGAATTATTTGCTTTTAATAATTTTGTGAAAGAAAAGAAAACTTTGAAATATAAAGAGGGTTCAGACATGTATTGCATGCAATAAAGTAATAAATTTGTTCGATGTTTTTTACAAAGAGAGAAAGTTTTGAAATAAAGTGTAAGAAGATTTGAAATATAAAGAGGGTGCAGACGTGAATTGCAATAAAGAAATAATTTTATTATAAATGTTTTTACAAAGTTTAGTAGTCTATTTATTGGATAGATATGTACCAAACGTGAATTTCAATTCAATTGATGTTCACAATTTGACATAAACTCAAAGTTTAACACTTATTTTGAAATTCTTTTAGGTTATTTAATGATATATTTGTATTGGAATGTTGTATTTATCTTTATTGAAATAATTTTTGTGCGTTTCTTTTGAATTTATTTCCAAAAATCTAAATTTAATTCAAACTTATAACTTGGATTTCACTAATTTACCCCAGGTTCTGTTATTTGTCACGTACTTTGTGTGACAAATAAACATCACCACCCAAAAAAATTGTTCCCCAAATAATTAATAAATTGAAACACTACCCTAACCCTAATTATACCAGCCAATCGGGTGGATTAGTAAATCAAATTGTTTAATGATATTTGTCTAGAAAATAAAAACAAAATTCCCAATTTGTTTATTATTTTCAATTCGACTTTGATACAAACGTGATATCCCATATAAGGAAAGGTTCTCATATGGATTTTGGTAGAACCGATATTATAATGGTGCAGGAAATATTCAAATAAAATTCGAAAATTGGCATTCTAATGTGTTCGACTTTAATCAAAAACATTCTACCAAAAAAAAAAAAATTTTTTTTTTTTAAAAAAAAAAAGAATATGAAAGCGATGTATTTTAATAAAACCATATTAATCTATGCGTAATTAAAAAAAAAATAATTATATTCCCAATATTCTCCAAAATACTAAAATCCAGGTACAAGAAATACGAGATATATACATTTCATCCGCTTTTCTTAACATAGAATAAAATAATACGCGAATTTGTTAATTATAAGAGTTGGGTTAATGTTTTAAAATATACAATAGAGTTATTTTACGATTAATGGATGTAATGTAATTTATTTTTTCAGCTGGTACTTTTTTCAGGGTGGGGTAGGTGCTTTTCCTTTTGCTGGTCCTTTGGCAGGTTCTTGCTCTTTCGCTTTTGCAGGCACCTTTGGGTCTTTTCCTTTTGCCCCTTTTGCAGGTTCCTTGGCAGGCTCTGGATCTTTTCCTTTCCCACAATTACCTACGGAGGCTATAAACGAAAATTTTTTTTTTTTTAGTTATAAAATCAAAATATCAGATAGAAACGTTTTAAGATTACTCACGTAATGTTTCGGCTTCACCAGGATTTTTGAAAGGATTAACTTGCACATTGATAACATTCGTATTTCTTTCAATGATTTGCTTCATGCTAACAGCTTTAATGGTTGCTATTTCTTCTGCTGTAAATTCATTTCCTTCATACCAAAATCTATCACCCATACGTTTCTTTTCAAATTCTTCTCGAAGTATATTAGTGATCGTAGGTGGAAGTGGAGATGTTGAAGCTTGTTTGTCTTCTGCAAACATACCAACTATTGGGTCAATAAAGTTTACTTTTTTATAAAGATATTGAAGATTTGCCGCTACAGATGCATTTGATGTTATTACTGAGAAACATTCTACGGGATCTTCGGCTGCATTTATGTCACACGCTGGATTATTATATAAGTCTCCTGCCGGATGATAGGCCGTTCGATATACATTATAAGGTTGAAGTCCATTCAATCGGCCTAAGAAATTTTTTTTTTAAAAAAAAATTAAAATAAAATAAATAAAGTTATAATAAATATTTGAAAAACTATTTTTTTTTATTTTAATTTTTTTTCTTAAACAAATAAATAAATATATATATATATAAATTTTCACCTCTTGCAATATCTATAGCGAATAAATCGATTATACCAGGCATATGCCTGAGAGCATTAGAAATCATAAGATCAAATTCTGCAGTCGGTTCTCTCAACATACTAGCGACAATGTTATCAACACCATTTCCGGTACCAGAAGCCAAAGCGATCATACGAGCAGGCGTATAGTCCAATTGTTCTCGTGTTAATTGCGAGTTTGGAGGAGGTTCGACTCCAATAGATCTACCAACATAAAAGAATCTATTTGGATGAGAATTTTGCGGTAGATAATCCGGATGTAAAGCGATCAATTCGCCGGTACATCCATCAACGATGTTATAAGGACGAACGTTAGAATGGCCATATCGGAATGCCGCGGTCGAGAAATAAGTAGTTGTATCAACGTAAATATTTTCATCGTAACCGGAATATGGGGACATTTTGAATCCTATTGCGGCTGGTAAATATTCATCAAATACAACATGTTGATATTCCGCTATTGTAATTCTACGCGCTCTTTGATAAATCTCCTCATCTTTTCCTGCCAAATCAGGATTTTCTTGGAGAATTTTTCTTGCTTGAAAATTATGTTCCCTTATCCAAATCGTATGAATGATTGCCAATTGAATATTTTCTGAAGCTCTAGTATCACCACTAACCATGGCATCTAAAACGTTGATTTGCGGTGAAGATAAATTTGGAAATATATCCGTCTCTTCTGGACTTGGTGCCATGTTCGCTACCGTCGTATTTAATATCGCTTTATTATATACACCACCGTTAGTCACATAATCCGATAAACTCAGCAAGCCATTTTCTCGAGTTCGTAATTTAAACGCATCGTCATCGTTATTTGCGTATATGTTAGAAAGGTCAAGGTATGAATTTGCTTTATTTACTGGATATAGCGTTGAATTTATTATTCTTCCAAGTGAAAGGGTGATCGTCATAACTTTGATATATATAAAAAGAGAGATAGGAAAAAGAGAGGTTAGTCTCGGATGGTACATTAGAGTCTCAAGCGCAAATTAACCTACATGGAGATTGATTAGGATTCCACACGTTATTGCTCTGGTTGTTGAATACAGGGTCGGAGGATGTTTCTGCGATAACAAAACCTGGTACGTCACTTTGGACTGCAGCTTCCTCAAGGTCATGATTAATAAATTGTCCAAAGAACTATGACATGACGTTAAAAAAAATGAAATCAAATTCAGTCATCAATCAAATAAAAGCTTCGATAAGAACCTTTTACTCACAGTTTCAAATACACTTTTTCTGGTGGTGGTTAAAACATCATCACCCAATGGGTTTCCGGTGAATGCAGGGGGTTGACCGCTATCCGATAACAAATTACTTATAAGTCTGGTGTCAATTAATGATATGGGAGAACCGGTGAAATAATCTTCATAATATGGTTCAAAGAATCCACGATCAAATACACGATTTGGAGAGCCCCAATTGGAATGCACCAAGTTGTTGCAGGTCCCACTAAATGAACGAGTTTTAAGATCCGTTCCATTACATGTCCATATTGGAGCTACGTCATCTAATATACTGCCATCCCCATCATCATATGCTGCTTGTTGTGTAGAAATTGGAATGAAACAACTTAATGATATAAAGATACACACAAAAACATCGTAATTTAATTTAAGTTTCATTCTCAATTAATATAATAACAATATAAATAAAAAAAAAAAAAAAAATTTAAAAAAAAAAAATTTTTTTAAGATTAAAAATTAATTTTTTTTTTTAATAAAAATTTTGAATAAAATTTCTGAAGAAAAAGTGTTTCCGTTTTTTAACTAGAGTAGTTTTTATAATCTTTTTTTTTTTTTGCATTGTTTGTTTCTTCATACATATTACAAAGAAAAAGATTCTATTTATGAGTACATGCATCTTTTGATATTAATATAGTTTAGGTCATCATGAGTTTGGAAGAATAAGTTTCCCTTAAATTTTGTGTCTATTCTTGGCTGATTTTATATTACCCATTGATAAACAAGGCAAATTTATTAAATTTAACTTCTCATCTCCTTCAAAATATTAACACAAGTATAAAAATATCCTCGGTTTCGTGGTCGGTGATACGGGCTAAATAGATTAACATTCTGCATCAAACAGATTTTAAATAATCCTATTTATCATATTGTGTAAAAGTCCAAACCACACAATTTGGAAAGAACGGGATTACAAGAATAATAAAGCGCGAAATTTAAGTTTAATTATAACCGTTCGATACCGGTAACCATGAATTCCCCCTGATTATAAGCATTTCAGGTTAGGATAAATGTTGGGTATATAATAAAGAATCCCCCAAAAATAATAATAACAATAATAATAATAATAATAATAATAATTGATAGTTAGTCATAGATCTTTTCTTTGCCGAAATAATCCCGACAAATGTTTCGAAGGCAAATCATAATCACCTTTAAAGTAATTCACTAACTTTTATTATCGAATGATCGTAAAGTTATAAACATGACGCATTTTTAGTGAATTGGTCAATTTAATTATCCGCATCATATGTATGAAATATATATATTTATGATGAGAATGATTATTTAAAAAAAAGAGAATAAAAAAGGGGCAACCACTTCATTGTAGAATCAAAAGAAGGTTATGTCGTGTTACATGAAGATTTCTCGTTATTTCTAAAAATGTAACCTTTGTTGAGGTTTCATTGTGTAAATGACACCCATCCAACAGATACGTCACGTGAATACAATCGTTCTGTCAAATAATTAATTTGTGCCTATTAAGAATCTTTGTCACACATGAAAATCATTTTACATTTTCTTCCCTCGATTCGTTCGAATTCAAATGACAAAGTCTGATAATGCTCAAGGTACCTCTGCTGTTCGGTAAATAAGCTTTTTTTTTTTTTTTTCCAAATTCATCTTCGAATATTGATTTTTCTTGTTATAGATTACAGATAGATATTCCGAAACTTGAACAATACTTATCAACAAAAATTTCAAAGTTCAAAATTCCGTTGGAAGTTCGACAATTTAAATTTGGACAAAGTAATCCAACATATTTATTAATTGACTCCAAGTAAGTTCCTTTCTTGCGCAACCCCCTTTTTTAAAGGTTAATTATATTTTGCCTTTGTTAATATAGTAAAACACGATATGTCCTTCGAAAGAAACCACCGGGTGCATTGCTTTCAAGTACCGCTCATGCAGTTGAGCGAGAATTTCGTGTTTTGGATGCATTAAGCAAACATACTGACGTTCCAGTTCCCAAAGTTTATCTTTTGTGCGAAGATAATTCAATTATAGGTACCCCTTTCTACGTAAGTAAATCTTTAATTAGAATTAATAAGGATATGCAAAGACATGTTAAATTTGAATGACCCGATCATTTTCTAGGTAATGGAATTTTTAGAAGGAAGAATTTTTGAAGACGTTCGATTGCTATCACTTTCACCAGAAGATCGACATAAATGGTATCTTATATTTCGTATCCTTTTCATATTAAAACAAAAGAAAGCGATTGACACTTGTCAAATTCTTTAGTTGGTATGCAGTTATTGATACATTGGCCAGGCTTCATTCGGTTGATTATAAAGCGATCGGATTGTCAAATTATGGAAAGCCTTCTGGATTTTATTCACGTCAAATCCGTTCCTTGGTTAAAGTATCAGCCGCTCAAGCCGCTGTTAAAGATGAAAATGGGAACGAAGTCGGCTCGTTACCTAGACTTGAAGAAATGATTAGTTGGTTTAAAAGGAATGAGGTTGATGATGAGACGACCATTATACACGGAGATTTTAAGGTAAATAATGTTCATTCTTATTGATTTGATATCAATAAACGGATGTTAACATAAGACATTTCTTTATAATTTATTTAGATAGATAATTTGGTCTTTCATCCAACAGAGCCGAGAATTATTGGAATTTTGGATTGGGAATTATCAACGATCGGTCATCCTTTATCTGATTTGGCAAATTTGTTAATGAATTACTATTTTAATTTTCAAGGTGGAACGTTCGTAGGGTTATTAGACATGCCCGATTTACCTATTCCTTCGTCTAATGAATTGATCAAAACTTATTGTGCAAAAATAGGAAGAAGTTATCCCATACCAAAATTTGAATTTAGTATTGTATTCTCATTTTTTAGGGTAAGCTCATTTTTTTTAAAAAATGATGCTCTTCTTTGTCCCTTTGTTATCAATAAATTTATTAATATAAAAAATTTTTTAATTTTGTGGAATCACAAGTTAGCTGTCATCATTCAAGGCATTGCAGCTAGAGTTGCAAGGAATCAAGCTAGCTCTGCTGAAGCTAAAACATATGCTAGATTATTTAAACCTCTAACAATTCGCGGTTTACAAATTATTGATGAATGTGGTGATTTATCACCAAAGAGTAAACTTTAAGTATTATTATGAACGGAAAAAACATTAAATAAAAAGGATCCTTTTGTCAAGTCGTCTTCTCAAACTCTACAATTATCAATTTTAAATAACATGATATCTCTTGCGCCGATCTCTTCCAATTTATCCATAACTTCAGCAACATCATCCTTTCCAACCATACTTTGCACTTCAACCCAATTACTATTCTCCAAGGGACTGATCGTGGGAGCCTGACGACCTGGTGTAAGTTTTGTCGCCTCTTTAAGATCATCTCTTAAAACATTATAATTTAGCAAAACGTACTTCTTTGCTGCTATTACACCTTTGATGCGAGAGGTTATTTTAGAGACTAAAGATGGGTTGGAAGGATTTTTGTTTCGAATTAATATGGCTTGTGTTTCGAGAACTGTCGAGATGGCTTTTAGACCTGCCACTTTCATTGTTTCTCCCGTTTCTAAAGATGTAAAAAAATTGGTGTTAGCAAAGGGATTTTGAGCTAAAGAACGAATCAACTTTTTTAAAATAATTTTTAACAACTCACCAACTAAATCGACTATAAATAATTTTAAAAGAAAAAAAATGTATATATATATTTGAAGTTAGTAAAATAAAATTTCTCCTACCTTTCCCAATTTTTCTCATCCAAATTACTTACTAATACCATCGGCCAATCCAAGCGCGCAAGCGGCTTCAACGCTACCACTAACGTATTCGATTTTTGTTTTTTTGCCTTCAGCCTTATCTTCATCGTTTAAATACTTTTGATCTATTTCAGCAAAATATTTGGAGGCTAATACATCGAAGCTTGTTACAATTTTTTTACCAACCAATTCTTCGATTTGATTTATACCGCTCTTAATAGGTACTTGTACTTGTAATTTACAACAACCGAAACCCAATTCCAGGATTTTATCAATCTTATCGGTTACTTGACATTCTTCCACCATATCTTGTCCTGTTATTCCTAAATCAACATTTCCCTCTCCAACGAATTTTGCTATATCGGGCGCTGGAAGAAACACAAGCGCGATAGGTAAATTTTTTACTAATGCAATATCTAATCGATTATAACGATGAAAGTTTATATCGGCCCCCCTGAGCAATGAAACACAATGTTCATGAAGTCGTCCTTTTTTTGGTATTGCGAATAACAAACGATCGGGAAGTTGATGGATTAAATCCATTTTTAAAAAAAGTTGTTTTAAGGAAAAAAAAAAAAAAAAAAAAAAAAAAAATTTAAGGAATTTTTTTATTTTTTTATTTTTTTTTTACAGTAATAAATTATAATGGTTGCACGACTATGAAAAATATTTTGTGTAAACACTGCCATCTAAGCCACGGTCGGATCGCTCCAAAATTTCTTTACCTTCTACAGGGAAAAACATATCAATGTAATGAAACTATTCTCCTCACGTGTCGAACTGGAATCATTCGAAACTAGCTTTTTTATAATTGACGATATGATTTTTTCCGAAATTATATTTTGAATCCTTTGAATCCTTTAATCAATCAAAAAACATGTAAACAGTTTATATTTTTTGATATGAAAGCCGAAACTCTTAACGAAGCTACATTTTTGTTTAAAATTGAAACATCTATCTCTTCAAAGTAATGCAAATAAGTTACGCTCCTTTTTAAATGGTAGTAGTACGGGGTCGGTCATCCTAACCCTCTTTATCATAGGAACTCGTCATCATTAATTCATGTGCAATTTGCAATATTATACCTAGTATACAATAAAACCTAGTAGTGTATCATTTGCCATAACCTAAAACTAATTTTCATATGAAGATGAAACAATTAGAAGGATCATTATGGTTATCAGGTATCAGATCCTTATTGAAATATAAATTATAAATGATCGGAATTTTTTCAATTTCATGTCACGAAATATCTCCTAGTCCTCGTAAAAATGTCCATTAATTCGCTTGAGACACGAATTCAAGAAAATAGAAAATTTCCAGTTCCATTGAAAAGCGAATCCTACTTTCACCATCATCAACCAATAAAATTTCACGCGATAATTGAAGGAACTCCTCTAATACTATCCGCAGAGGCTGGTGAAATATTTCTTACGGATAAACGACTTATATTCATTGCACGAAAACCTTCTCCGATTGATGAATTTGAAACTTTTCATATAATGTTGGGAGATATTACTTCATCCATATTATTTCCTTCCAAGAAGGATACTTTTTCTGTGAGCGTTACAATGAGAAGTGGAATTGAGGTTATAATGTCGTTTTCTTATGAGAAAATTCATTTGGAAGATAAAAAAATTTTTGAGGCGTATTATGGGATGTTGATAGCTCAGGAAAATAAAGGGGATAATAGTAGTAATGATGATAAAGATCCTTTATTACAATCCTCCGCTATATTTGAGCATTTGATCCTTAAATCAAACAGAGAATCGGTTCTTGAATCTGATTTCATGTAAAAAAAAAACTTCAAGATTATTTAAATATAATAAGGATGACGACAATTTTTTCTTCTCTCTGATTATATTGTTGTATTCTATTATATTATATACTGTATCTGAAAATCATATCGATTAATTTATTTGGCTCTCGAATTTTTGTTATTCAATATTTACAAATAAAATTTTAAGTAAACGAGTTATTATTTTTTTAAAATAACAATCTCATTACTAAACAATCATTGATACGATAAACTGCTTGTGATACATTAATGAATGAATATTTCCTAGACGAAATAAAAAGTTTGTAATTAAATTCTATTTCCTATGGAAAGAAAAAAATCTGCCTTGACAAATCGGGTAAGAAAGACAATTTCAAAAATGTGAATGAATCTCATGATAAATATCGATATGAAATTAAAAATCGTAAATAAGAAAAAAAGCGATTTAAAAGAAAATTCTATAAATGATAGCCAACCAATTAAATTTGAATTATAAACCTATTTTTTTAAAAAAAACTTCGTTTTAAAGTTTGTCATTATTACATGGATTTTCTTTAATCTTAGATTTTTTATAAAATTAAACATGTTTTTTTAAAACATATTTTCAAAAAATCAATTACAAATATTTGTTTATTTTAATCAAAAGTTTATCTAAAATATTAAAATAGGATTTAGATTAAATTAAATTTAATATTATTTTTTAAATATTATCATATAATAACTATAGAACGCCTACAATTAAACCTATATATTTCTCATCAAACCTCACATTACTGATCATACCTAATAAGGAAAATCCATGTTCTGCAAGGATCACGAGGATCCCAGGGGGTAGGTCCCAACTCCAACTCTTGGTTTTGATTGGATTGTAACAGGGTAAGGTAGCGAAGAAGTATGTTATAAGCACCATTGATATACCAATCAAGCTCAGATCTACAACTGGGACAACAGAACACCTTGGATCACCTAATTTTTTATGGATATAGCCACAACGCCTACACGTCTTACTGGTGTATTTTTCTGTACATATAATTACTCAGCACTATAGGTATTCACAAACTTTATGTAGAAGATATTAATAGAATCAAAAGTGTGACTATGTTAACATTATCTGAGCAGTCTTAGAATGGATCTGTCATTTTTCACACTTAACCATTTCCTACATCTTGAATTCAGATAACAAAATGATACGATAATTTTGACATAACCAACTAGAAAATTTATGATGACAATCATCAATAAGATAGCAGATTTTTTTATATATATGAAACATGACCTTGCGAAGCTTATAGCACTTTCGTTTATATACTTTACCATAAAGAGAGTCATGCTTACTTTGGATTTTGTCATAAGTGTGACAAAGTCAGTGAATTCTATTAATATTGTTTTTACCCTATTTTATAGCTTGTTCACTTAGATTATATTCAGTCATAAATGTCTGTATGCCTGAATCTAGAGCAATCACTATATCCTCTGATTGTATAAAACCTTGATTTTTTGGCCTATATATCAAGTGGTTGAGAAATGTAAAGGTAAAATTCTTCAAGCTAATTTACTACAAGTCATGCATAGTAATGGAGTTTTGCTATAAGATTTTTGGCTGACTTCATCTTACAAAGAAATGCATAAACTCCTTTTAATTTACCTAATGTTTCAATAGAATTGCAATAGATTGTTGTTGATCTTTCTTAGAGCAAAATTTTATCTTAAATTTCATCTGTTTTGCAGCAAAATTTGTTGAATATGCTTTAAGTAATTCATTTATCCCTTCATCATAAATATAATATGGGGTTTTAAAGACCTATTTAAGTTTAGTATTATTAAAATTTGCAAAGCTTTTTTTGTTTATATGATACCCTTTTTTTTCTGACTGCTACAGGGCACTGATTGTAAATCCATCATGCTGTTTCCATCCAGCATATAAGTTTCAATTTCTCTTCTTACATAGAAAAAAAATGGATACGTTGTATTTTTCCTGCCGGTGTTTTGATCTTCTTGAGCTTGGGTTTCTCATTTTTTTGCAGTTAGCAGCAGAACGCATTCTATTATGTCTTGCCACAAATGCCATGATAATTGAGAGTAAGTCTTCTGCGAGTTCTCTGGCTTTACTACTTTCAGTACTGACATTCGTATCAAATATCATGAGCTGAGTACCATTTTTTTCAAAGATCTACAGTGAACTCTTGATATAATGAATTCTGTGATCTAGATATCAACTTCATTATAAGCTTATAACGAATTTTTTAAAGAATTTAATTGGCTAGTTTGGCTAGTTTACTATAGTAAGGTAATTTTAATATATTTGATTTAAAATTCGCTATATCAAGGATTCACTATATCTAGATTTGATTGTATTTCACAAACTTAAGTCCAAATTGACACAATCGGTTCTAATAAAAAAGTTAGTAAAATAATAAATAATAAAGACAATAAATTAAAGTAAATAAAAAGAAAATTCAAACCTTTGAGGTAACCGATTAATTAACTAATTAAATTTAATTCAGATTAATATTATAAATTTAGGTAAAGCTAACAAAATTTATAATCACAAAAAATTTTAATTTTTTTTGAAAATTAAATTTAATAGGAGTTAGATTAAATATTTTAATTGGTTAAAAAAATTTTAACTAGTTAATAAGAAAATATTTAATCAGTTAATTAACTGTTTAAAAATTAATTGGTTTTATCCTTTAGATAATTTAAAGAAATTTTATTTTATTTTGAAGTATATAATAAAGTAATGAAAGAGAAAGGATACAAGAACAATTAAACATATAAAAATATTTTAATAAATTTGTTAATTTGTGATAAAATTTTTGTATATTATATAAAAAATTAAATATTTTTATAAATATAACTATCTAAAAATTTTTAAAATCTTTTAATAATTTTATTTTAAATATAGTAAGATTTAAGATTGTTAGATAAAATCTAGAGTTTTAGCTAAACATTTAAATGATAAGGTAAAACTTGGTTAAATTATATTAAAATCTTATTAAAATTCTGTAAAATTCAGAAAAAAGGTAAAACTATATTAAAACTAATAAAAATAATAAAATTATATCAATTATTTAGTAAAAATTTAGTAAAAAATTAGTAAAACTAAAGGGTTAGATGTTTAGTTAAATCTAAAATGAGTTTAAACAAGCAACCTTAGTAAGATCTTTTAAATGTATTCTTCTTAAATATATATAGATATATTTTTTCTATAAATGTATATACTATACAGCCTTAAATGAATAAGATTATATAAAATTTCTCTCTTTAAATACACATCTATACTCTTTTTAAGTATACATTTTTTCAAATTTTTATTATGATCTCAAGTAATGCATTTATAGAGATCTCACTATAATTATAAATAACATTTAATTCCTACTTTTTTAACTAATTATCTAAATCATCATATTAAAAAATATATATTTTTTGATATAATGACTTATATTAAACTTTTATATAATTATGTAATTTATATGACTTAAATATTAAGATTTTTTTAAATTAAAACTAATACTAATACTATTTCTAAAAGAATTAATTTACAAATTCTTATAATTTATAGATTAGGTAATAATATTATAAAATATATTAGATTCTCTTAGCAGGTTTAACAGATCTTGATTATAAGACTAACTATAATAATTATATAATTTTTTCAATATTTATTAAAAATAAAAATTATATAGTACTTTTAAATACTTATTATTCTAATAAGTTTTTTAAATACATATTTTAGATAATGAAAAGGTTTTATATTGATTGATTATTTTTCTGATATTCATAATTAATAATACTTAATAAATTTATTTTTCTTATTATAATGAAATTAATAATAACAAAATTATTTTACTTATTACTAAAATTATATTTAACTTAATTTAAATTTTTATTAAAATATATTAAAAAAATAATAATTTTATATTTTTCATATAAAAATATTAAAAAGTCTAATCCTATTAACAAAACTATTTTTTTCAAAAAAAGATTTAAACAGGTATTATTATTCATGATGCATTAATGGAAATTTACTTTTTCTTCTAGTAATTAATATTGATGCAAAACAAAATTCTAATTTCACTAATCCTAAATTTTCTTTATTAAATAACAAAATACTATTTGTAAAGATTTATTATATAGAATTTTAAATACTGTTATATGAGTCGATTGCAAAGTCTACTAATTGAAAATATACTCAACGTAAATAATAAGATTATAGGTATCTGAAGGATAATAATTTTTAGCTTAATAATCTTAAAAACTTATTCACATTAATAAAACTATTAAATGTATAATATATTAATTTATATGTACAGAGAATGTTAAGGATATATAAATATAAATTAAGAATATATATGAATACTTTAAATATGATAGAAAAATAATAATGATAGATTGGATTTTAGATTATAAGTTTAATAGATCAATATTATAGAAATAATATTTAGTTTATTAATAAAATATAAGTAGATCAATATGTTTTAATAAACTAAATAAACTTTTATTCACAAATTTATCAGAATATGAATAATACAATTAATTCTCTAATTAACTTAACTAAACCTAAATTATATCTGAACTGCTTATTGATTAACTAATTTTTTAACTAACAGATTATTTTACTACATAATTTTCTATCTTATTTATATAAAATATTTGATCTACTTACTAATTAAAGATAAAGTAAAACTATAAAAACTAAAGAAACATTGTAAACTTCATTACTATGTTAACTAATTTAACTAATTTAACTAAGTAATCAAAAGAAATTTATTAAATTTAAATAACTATATAAACTTAGTTAATAACATTATTATCATTTCTGAGGTTTCAGTTATTTGATCATTAGGCTGCAGTAAGGTTGCTGAACGAAATCAAGAGTTTAGACAGACGTCTAAATGGTAAAAATAAAACTTGGTTAAATTATATTAAAACCTTATTAAAAAAT